GCTGTGTGTTCTAGACCTCTACATAGGCTGTGTGTTCTAGACCTCTATATAGGCTGTGTGTTCTAGACCACTACACAGGTAGCGTGTGTGGGCAGTTGCTGATACGTACAGCCTGTTTGTCAGGGGTACCTTTATATTAAAATCTAATAAAATTGTTCTTGGCTTCCGAAGTGGTGTGTGTGTGTGTGTGTGTGTTTTACACAAATGGCTTTTCCAAATCACAACTTGATGAGGATTTTGTTTCTTCTAAATGTACCTTAACACACCTTTTATGCAACTGTTAGGATCAAGATTGATGGGAAGTGGGGAGGCGAATCTTACCATGATATGATCATTCACGATCATCAGTTCAATGTATTTGGTTTCCTCCTCTACATTACGGGGAAATCGAAGAAGCTATAACACAATGGGAAAAAAAAAAGAAAAGAGAAGAAAAAAAGACTAAACATGTAAATTTAGCTGCAAAAACTAAAAGCCCAGAAGAAATCAATGAAACAAAAATTTCCTTTTTACTTCAGCATTAACTTTTAAACTCTCATCTATTTTCTTATTTTTTAAGTAGACTAAAATGTGCATGAAAAAAATCAACGAAGAATAAAAACCAAGGGTGAAACAATCCTCTTGCCTCTATTCCCCTCTTCTACGGGGGGTACAGCAAATTACTAATTTTTTTCCCAAAATGTTTACACAAATACAACTAAATATGGATATACGCGTCATACGCCTACGTACTTCAGGCTTGTCTTCATGAAAACGTGTTCACCCTACAGTGGGACGGGAGCGACACAGCGGAGCATTGCTCCTGCTTTAGCTCAACTCCAGCAGCAAATTTCTGAAAGTGAAGGGACTGGTACTTTCCCGCATCATCTCCAAATCTAGGTGTGTCCATGACTTTCCTCTGGTGTGGCCCATAGGATCCCCACAAGCTACGGGGTGTGGTCAGCATAGCCCTGAAGTCCCCCAAGTGGTCTTGGAGTGTCTTTAACTGCCACCAAGTTCTCCTCACTTTCAAAACCACAATCAGTCAACACTATGGGCAAAGTTCCCAGGACAGCCTTCCCTTCTGCCCATCTATCACACAGTCATTAACAGGATCTGTGAAACTGACTTTTCTTTTATGCCACGGGTCAATAAAGGGGGTATTTTTCCTCCAATAAATCTTGTTCACTTGCCCAAAGACTATTTCTGTGATAAAGGCACACCGTCAAGCCAAACCAGAATCAATGCATGCATGTTTGAGTGCTACATTTTAAACAAACTAAAAATATACAGCCACATAGATTTTTGTCTCTTTCTACATGTATTTTCTAATCTTTAAAAGAAGGAAAGACTCTTCCAACACTAGTATCACAGATGATAATGGGCTGTATTTTTGTATTTAAAAACTAAGCAGGAAAACTAAACTGCACCCAATGACAACAATCTTTACAAACAAAACAGCAACAACAAAAAGCTCCTACTAGGACAAGATCTCCCTTGCTCACTCTGGGCTCCTAGTTAACTGAGAAGACTTTCGAATGAGTCCCAGCCTTTTTTTAAATGCCTGAGACTTGCATTTGGACATAGTATCACACTGACTTAATTGCATGGATTTATAAAGGAGTGAAGGGTTCCCCTTCTTAGCCAATGACAAGATGCTGAGACACTTCTAAAAGAACTTCAAGGACACGGTAATAGGGTATTTCTCCTATTCTCTCAACTCAGCATTCATAACAACACACAATTTTGTAAATTAAATCTTCATGGAAATCATTTTTACCTTAACTCCAGACATCCATGTGTCTGTGTCTAAACAACAAACTTCAAGCTTGTGGGAGTGACTTGGGGAACACACTGGTTTCTGAAGGGTGATTCAGAGAGTGTGGGTGGCTAGAGAAACCCCTGGGACCAGACCTTCTATGAGATTCCCCTCCTATTTGAGTCATGTGCATCTATCCTATCAATTACTATTTGCTGAATAAACAGGGGTCATAGCACCACCTTCATAAGGGTATCACGAGGAGCAAAAGTGTTAAGATCCTGTCCAATTCTGCAGTTAAACAGTTAAGAGTCTTATAATATGGACACGTGCCTGCTAAGTTTTCAACAAATATTCGCAACTATAAGTCACATAAGGATCTGTCTGAAACTACATTCTGTTTTACCAGACAGAGAAGCCTGTGCCTGTAATCCCAGCACTGTAAATCTGAAGCCACCCTCAGTCATAGAGTGAGACCCTGTCAAAGAACAGAAGGAAACAAAACAGCACCAGTTTTATGGAAAGGTAATGGAAGCCCGGGCCTTAGTAACGTGACTGGGGAGGCTGAAGCAAAAGGCCCACGAGTTCTACACCTGCCTACAGAGCAAGTTCAAGTCCATACTGGACAACTTAAGCAGATCCTGTTTCTAAAAGGGCTGTATACAGGTAGCTCAGAGATAGAACATTTGCTTGACATGTGACTTGCTTGGCATGGCCAAGTTCAATCCTGGTAGGTGGCGAGATGCTGACATGTGTGTGAGGAACAAGCACATGCATAGAGAGTGTGCCCTGTCCTCTCTATAAAACACGCACTTCACACAACCTTCAACAGGTGCGCTTCACTCCCTGTGTTCTTGTTATGCTGCATGCACATGTAAGCTCCCACAAACCGTCATCACTGTGGTTGTGATGGGTGGACCCTGACAGCAGATCTACATTCCAGGCCATTTGTCAACTGTGTGAGACACGGGGCAAGTCACCTTCAGATGTGAGAGCCATGTAAAGGACAGTATCAGCCCCCGTGGTTTAAGGTACCTTAAGGACAGTGCTATTACCACAACGTCCAGTTGAAGAGTCCTAAAGCTATGTCCTCGTTTATATACTAAATCCAAGGCATCTCAAGTGAGAAAAAGGCATTTTGTGGCTTCAAAACCTATCAGGAATAGCAAAAAAGATCCCATGATGTGATTCTTGCCTGAGCAAGGGAAGAAGAAACCGTGCTTCATGCAAAGACCTCATGACCCACGGTAATGGGGACTCCATATTCATCCATCGTCTAGCCCACTACTCGTACAAGAACGCATCCTGTGGCTGCTTTCACGCATCTGTCACTTGTTTGTGTCCCCACCCTCACAGAGGCTGCACTAGCTCTTAACCCCCACCCTGCAGACACTGACTGTGGACTCAAATGATCGCCAGTGGCCTCGTGTTCTAAATATCATGGCTTGCACCTGCGAACACAACACATACCTGTCGCTTACTCCGCTTTAGTCTTGGCTTCAAAATAAATTTTGGTGGAGTAATATTTACTTGTTGAAATTCTACAAGAAAATAAAAACAAACAGTGCATTTTCCAGACTTGTACTAGAAGGCAAAATTTCACTAGTTTTTCTTTCTACTTAGTGAGTACATGAAACATTAAGTAATTATGTTATATTAACCATGAATAAGTATCTAATGGGCAAATGCAATCCACAAAAGCTCAATTTTCTCATGATCATTCTATGAATAACAACACATTTTTAATTAAAAATCTGCTAAGTAGCCAGCTTGATTTTCGCTTCCATCACTAACCTTCTCTGGGGGAAGCAAAATAAAGAGGAGATATGGAGCAGACTTCTAATATGACCTATTAGGAAGTTGATACAGGACAGCAAAATTGGACTCAATTGTTTCCAACTCACAGACATTCTCTTCCAAGACAAGATTTATCTAAGGCCTTGCTTGCTACTCAAGGGCAATGGACAATCCGAGTCCCTCTTACTTGCATGTCAGATCACGCACAGACTATTCATGGATATGGATAAATTCATCTCTAGATTCTAGGTTAGCTGTAAGGGAGGACTCTCTTCAAAGTGATGCAAATGGATGGAACTATCAAAAATCATCCTGAGTGAGGCACCCCACACCCAGAAAGACAAATGCAGTACGGACTAACTCATAAGCAGATATTAGCTATAAAATGACTGGTCTCACATGCATGAGTATATTAAATTGGACTTGGAAGTTATTATTTAAAAATTAGTTGAGAGAGAGTGGGGAGGTTGGAGGATGGATCTGGGAAGAGTTGGGTGAGGGCTGGGGGATGAGTATGACCAATACATATTATATGCATGTATGAAATTCTCAAAGAATTAATAAAGAACATCTTAGAAATACCAGATAGATAACATTACAGCAATAAATATCTCAGTATGAAGGAGTCATAATACATAATGACAAAAGGACATAGCACTCCCACTAATCATGCCTGAGTGAGTGTAGCTCGGAACCTCTCCTACTAGAGCCGTTGGAGGATTACAACTCCAGCCGACAGTCACACTACAGAGATCAGCGATGGGCACTCTGCGAAGCCACAGCTGGGCCCTTGACTCTTGGGAACGGAGAGATAATAAGTGTTTATCCACAGCAACCTCTGAACTAAGAATGGCAAACACAAACGAAAACTGTAAATGTCTTAAACACTTACTGCCATCTTTTGTGATTCAGTGTTTCTGGAGAGGGCTGAGAATTCACTTTGTTGTGCTAGGGTATAAATCAGGGACTCATGCAAAACAAACAACAAACGCTGGGTATACGAGAAGACATGCTACGCTAGATATATGAGGAGACACTAGCCCCACACACTGCTGAGCTGTTTCGCACAGACAATCTCAACATTCAGAATGTTCTAATAAGAATCTAAGAGGAATTTCAGAAACTGACAAGTTGGTTCTAAAGCCTGTATGAAAATGCAAAGGACCTAGAAGGGCTAAATTAATTTGAAAAAGGACAACACTGTACCTGATTTCAAAATATGTACTTGATTGATTTCAAAATACACTATAAAGCCACAATAAGCAAAAAAAAGTAGACACAGGCGACTAAATGTCAAAGGAAGAAACCCATTTTAATACTTAATGGCAATCCAAATATTCAGTGTTAATAACATATCTAACAAAGGCCTTATGTTCAGAGTATGTAATCATTTTTTTTTTAACTTTTGGCTAAGATCAAATGCAGAATATGCAAATCCTTGTACAATGCAAAAACCAAAGGAGAAAAACACAACGGTGACTAGCAAGCACACTCTACAAGCCTCCCCCAGTTGGGAAACTGTCCGAAGACAGTGCAGTGCATAGCGCCATGCACACCAGATCAGCCAACAACCACGAACCTCAGCTATTCCTCGGTGTCTGTTGCTCAAGCTCTGGAGGAAATAGTGCTGCCATATGGCGCCGTGTGAGAGCAGAGAGACAGAAGCACTCTGGAGAAGCCACTCGACTTCTCATAAAACAATCCTTTTCAGCGTAGAATCTTTGGATCAGTAAAACTGGCATCACCTGGGGACATGCTGGAACTACAGTCTCACTATGGAAAGCCCTGGGATGAGGCCAGCAACACGTGACTATCACCTAGCCTGTTATTTTGGTAACAGGCTGAAGTTTTATGACGCGGATCCCAAGCTTAGTATACACCTTCCCAGGCCCTCCTTAGGTATTTACTAGAAGAAATAAAAACATGCCTCTATAAAAAAGAAATGAATAGGGGGAAGGTAAAGGGGATGAAAAAACAGAAAAGACATACAAGAATATTCATGGTTGCTTACTAATAATTGCCTCAAACTGGAAAAACCTGAATGCCCATCAACATAATTCATAAGAATTGTAGTCTATTCATACCACAGAATACACTCAATAATAAAATCAATAAGTGACTGTTATTTTAACAACATAAACATCAAAGAAATATGCTAAGCAAAAGAAACTACATATAATACATGGTTTCATATGTTTAAAGTCCTATAAAAGACAAGACTAGCCAATAGGAAAAGTGGGCAGAAAATAGGTTGCAGAAGACAAGGAGTGGGGACAGCACAAGGCCGGGTCTCAGTAATGAGAATGTTGTATTTCAATAGGGGTCACCTCGGAGCCCAGTGAGTCACACGCGGGCTTGTGTTCTGTGCTTAGCGGTCTCTCAAAGAGTGTCAACTAGTCCACTGAAAGCAAGACTTTTCTTCCCTCCAAAACATGTTCTAAGGAACATTTGTCCTAAGAGACGTAGTCTACAAAATAAAAGGTTCTGTAAGCTAAAACAAGTTGACAAATGTTGATTATACTACTTCTATCTCTAGGAAATAGACAATACCAAGCAAGATGAAGTGGTAGTGGGGACCTATAACCCTGTTCAATTTCATTCAACCTAAAATAAAATAAAGAAACATACTTCTAACTTTCGCTTGTTTTCATCTAGTTTGTCACAGTAAATTCTAAGTAATCTTGAAAGACAATGTCACTGTCCTAATCAACAGCGGCAACCTCTGATTGAAAATCTAGAAACAGGCCAAGCACGAAGACTCAGGGCAGCCACCCTGGCCCTCAGGAGGTTAGACAGAAGGATCACTGCAAGCCTGAGCCAGGCTGGGCTACAAAATTGGACCTTATCAGAAAAAAAGAAAGAAAGAAAGAAAGAAAGAAAGAAAGAAAGAAAGAAAGAAAGAAAGAAAGGAAGAAAGAAAGAAAGAAAGAAAGAAAGAATGCCAAGTCACTTCTGTGGTTATTTCTGAAAAAGAACCCTGAACAAAACTTTAAAAAAAAAAAATTGTATGGTTGCATTTCTATACTGAAGTCTTTGGTGGGGAATCATTATTACCTTAAATATTAATCAATGTTGATTGCTTCCAGTAAGACCTATTACACTGTAGCTTTATTCTCACACAGCCATTCATGATTAATTCTGTTCCCATAACTGGCATTATAAAAAGTTTCATATGGTTGGTGAAAGGACAGCATGCTTCTCCTTGGAGCAAGAGCGTCTGTGTGTTTATCGGCAGACTTCCCTAAATATGGATTCTTTTTCAGATTTTACTATTTTGTATGTGTGCAATAGCCGGGGGCATGCACGTGCCACGCCCCACGGGCAGGTCAGAGGACAGCTCCGTGGAGTCTGTTCTCTCCAGTGTGGGCTCTGGGGACCGAAGTGGATCACTAGGCTTTTGTGGTAAGTGTCATTCCTCACTGAGCAATCTCATTGGTCTCCAAAACAGTGGATTCCATCAAATGGGATCTTGAATCCCTTCAGCACAGTGGAAAGTGCTAGTTTCTCTGTGGCAGAACTACAGGAGGCCAGTGAGTCACAACTCAACCCAGAGAGGAAGGGGTATTAGAACTCAGCATTCACCTCATTCTCTAACAAGATGCTATGAGCTTTTGGCTTTAGGCTGGTAATGTTTTCACGTCTCCCTGTGAGTCTCTCACAGCAGTCTCTCAACGTATCATGACCCTTGACCTTTAGTAGCTGTGGGACCCTGAAAAGACATACTAGCTGAACCTCTGTTTCTTCATCTTCATGTTATATTAACATACAAAGCTACGGCAAAAACAAAGCTAATTAAAAAGAGCTAAAGACAAATGCCCAGTGCATAATCAGTGTTCCACAAACATGGGGTGCTAGCAGCCAGGTCAGCTCTGCTTGCCAGGTGACATGTCAATGCCCCTCTCCAATCAACGTTTGCAGCAATTAAGCTATAAACACAAATGAGGGGAAAATATGTACCCATTTCACAAGTAGCAAACAATTATATAAAAGGCTAAATTATAGCTTTTGCTTAAAATGCAAAAAAAGAGGAAGGAAACAGGACATGGGGAGATGATTCATGCCTGTGTTCACAAAACTATCATTTTCTCAAAGATGGACTTTCATATCATTTACCAGTTTTACTCTAAATTATGTCTCATTCCTAACATTGAGTCTTAATTTCTTAAGTATTCCTTCTGTGTGCTTAAGCCAAATTTTTCTTCAATTGTAAACAAGCAGTCAGTTTGCATTTTATTCTTCCCTTTGGTGCAACTCGACAGACCACCTAAAATGTCAAGAGCAATTTTCAATTATTATTTAGTATATATATTCGTTCTAAAGTAGCAACTGAATTACTGGGTTGTTGTTGTTTAAAAGAAATCCCTAATATGAATACCATACCAGTTGGGAGGTCATCCAAAGGAAATTCAAACAGTCTGGATTTGTAAACCGAGTGAAAATGAGACTCTTCCTGAAAGGCAAAGGGCAGAGATTAAGTGCATGGCAAGCAAGTATCTTTGGCTTCAGGCGATCGTAGCAGGAGAAGCTAGGACTACGAAACTGTAGCTTGACTACGGTGTTCCAGGTTTATAAGGGGCCATGAGCTGCACAGCCCCATTCCTCTAACTCTGCAGCTACCAATTGCAACCAAAAAGCCTCACGGGCAGAAAGGCCAAAGCTGCAGTAATGGAAAATAAATAAATGGGCCTACTTCCCCAAGGGAACGTAAGACCTCTTGGAAAATGGGTTAATGACTGGCTTCTTTCATGATTCCTGCCCCTATATTAAGAGCCAGATAGCTTAGGTAGGCAGTGACCAAAGCTACCAATTTTCCTGGTGACTGCAAGCAAAACAACAGATACAAGCGATGCCCAGAATCCTGACATAGACAGTTCCAGAAAGCAAGAAATAACACAACACTTTTTCTTCTAAGCAAAATTATTAAACATTCAAATGATTTCAGCTGGCTTCATCTAAGTGCTAAAGAATTAGAATGTCCTAGAATGTAAGTTAACTACAGCCTCTAAAAAGTCAGTGCCCCGCAAAGAGATCAAGCAGCTTTAGCGGGTCCTCAGGGAGCACGTCAGATGGTTCCCCAAACAGAGTTGTTTAAGAGGTGAAAAGACAATGTGCATTCCTGGACATTACCTCCTCTGTAAATGTTTGACCAGCACGGCATGAAACAAGGAAGTTCATTTGTATATGCAAAGAAAGAATTGGAAACGGTATTGTTTCCCCATAGCCGGACAGATTTGGTCTTAGCCAAAGAGCAATGAAGGCACTGTGGTCTAGAATGTTAACTCAGTCCTTTCCTCATAGGAGGAAATAACAAAGGGTAAATGAGGCTGGAATGACGTCACTTTGATCAGTATGGCTGGTGTCCTTATACGGAGAGGAAGAGATGATCAGAAATGTCTCTGTGTCAAGTAAAAATACAGTGGGAAGGCAACCAGTTGCCACCCAAGGGGAGATCGCTCAGAGGACACCAGCCCTACTGTCACCTCGATTTTTAATGTCACAGTCTAGAGAGCTATGAGAAAATACTTTGTGGTATAAGCCGCACAGTCATGATATTTGGTGTCAATTAAGGCCCGCCATGCAACAGAGAGAAGTGGTGGCTTCAGAAGACACTTCCGGGAAAGTATTCCCAACACACTCAGTATCGTGCATGTGTGCGTGTGCGTGTGTGTGTGTGTGTGTGTGTGTGTGTGTGTGTGTGTAGTCCTGGACCTAACAATACAAACATACACGAAAGGTGGAAAGGGGATGAACAAGACAAAGGTCTCGGCACCAAAGCTGCCGTTCGCACGGCAGGCGGAGCACTTACGTGGGAGGTCTCATTTTCTTCCGGTTCGATGAGATAGGTGTGGTTCCCATCAAAGAACATCCCACTGCCAAGCACAAGAAAACAATTAGACAGAGCTACCGAGTCTCATTCAGAGCAAGCTCGTTTTAGGGTCAGCAGCACAGGCCGGGTTACTTTCAGTATCTACTTCCCAGAGCCACCAATCCTCAGTAGACGGGTGGGGCATCGCATAGGCACTTCTGTCTCTGACCTCACTAAGGCAGATCCTCCCGTCTTGAACTCCAAGCTCAAGACTGAATTCTCGGCTTTTCGTTATTCTTCTAACATGGACTTCTGAGACTGATAATAAAGGCCACCCTAGAATATGTGTGAAAGTATAATTCTCAGAAAACCTTCCTCAGACTTCAAGGCTGGGACTCTGAAAATCATATTTAAAACAAGTCCCAGACCAGAGTGGCAGCAGACTCCTTTAATTCTAGTGTGCTCTGTTAGTTCTCCCTCAGAAATTAAAACAAGTCTCAGCAGCTGGAAGTGGGGAAATAAGCTTGCAATCCCAAGTACTTGGAGGCAGATGGCAGCAAGAAGATCCATGGTCAAGGCTGACCTGGGCAGATTCAGGACAGCCTGTCCAAAAATCAAATGCTACCGCAGGTAAGAATACAGCCTGGTGGTTGAGCGTTCCCCTTACATACACAGCCATTCAGTGCTGCGAAAACCAACAAGGCCCACAACAGCAAAAGCACCTGGGCGATGCTGACGCCACAGGCTGCCTGAGAGCACTGAGAATGGGCTCCAACCACACACTGGAAGGGGCTCTGGCAATAAGGCGAATGCATTCGAACAATTCGAACTAAATCTTTTCTCAACTGTAAAGGGCGAACTCATGACCGCCTGTCCAGAAGAGACACTGAAGTAGCCCTCTTAGATTCCATCTCTCACACACGGAAGACAGGAAACTGCGCAGTCTGGGCACACGAACTGGTCATCTGCAACCGAGACCACCTTTGCTCATTCAGAGTGAACCGACAGGGAACCAACAAGGCACGGCTGTAGATGCAAGGGGTGGGCCAGTAAAGGGAACCATTTTCCGCCGAATTACATTTTGGGGAGAATAAAAAATTAAACACACACTAAGGAAGGAAATCTAAGTTAGGTGAACATGGACTTTATGGTGGAAATCAAGCTTGTTCAAGTTAGTGATTAGCGCTGGAAGCCCGGGTGTGGGAGAGCTCGGAGCTCAGGGTACGGCTCCACAAGGAAGGTGGCTTACCTATACTGTACAAAGGGCATGTCAGTGGCTCTCATGGCATGATCCAGGAAAAGTAAGAGGACAACACGGTGAGAGCAGAACAGGCAGGGGACAGAGTAACAGAAAAAAATGCAGTCAGAAGCCCATTGGTGGATATAGTAGGTAGTCTCTTCTGAGGGCCTTGGCTGTTACTCTAATGAGAAGATTGACAAGCAAACTTCTAAAGAGAGGAAATGCCTTCTCCCTGTTTTGTTTTATTGCTTGTTTATGGAGACAGAGTCAGTCAACCCAGGCTGACTCTAAATTAACAGCAATCTATCTGCCTCTGCCTCCCAAGTGCTAAAATCGCAGCCATGAGCCATTATGCTTGGTTCTCCCCGTCTTAAAATATCCTTGCTACGGTGTTAGAATACCCTAGAGAATAGCAAGACTAAGGGCAGGGATTAGAAGAATAGGATTACTATAATAACTCAGAGAAGATAGTGGTAATTACAGAAGTGGTGAGACCTGGCCAAATTCTGGAGGCTGTGTGTGTGTGTGTGTGTGTGTGTGTGTGTGTGTGTGCATATGCATTCACATGTATGTAATTCTTTTTGCTGTTGAGGATTAAGCCCAGGGCCTCACAGGCTAAGCACATTATATCATTGACCCACAGGCCCAGACAAGATATATTTTGAAAGTGGAACCAAAAAGATTTTGTTGAAAAGTTTAATGTGGACTTTGCCAGAAAAAATATCAACAAAGACCCCAAGGTTTTAACCTAAGCAGTGTAAGGACAATAAACAGTGTAACTGACACTAAACAAAGTAACAGATTCAGAAGGAACACAGCGGGCTGAGGACAGGAAGGAGGCGCAAATCAGGAGGGCCTGGGACCTCTCCTGCTGGAGCTGGCTAGCTGCTATTTACAAATCCTCCAAAAGGGGGCGCCTTAGTTCCTGTTCCGTCGCTGTGAAGAGACATCATGACCAAGGCAACTCATACAAGAAAGCATTTACCTGGGGATTTGCTTACAGCTTCAGAGAATTGGTCTTGGATCTACGGCGGGAAGCATGACAAAAGGCAGGCATGATGCTGGAGAAGTAGCTGAGAGCTACAGCCTGAGCCTCAGGGAGCAGGCAGAGACAGAGACTGGGATTTTGAAGCCTCAAAGCCCATCCCAAGTGACACACCTCTTCCAACAAGGCCACACCTCCTAATCCCTTCGATCACCAACTAGGGGCTAAGCATGTAAATCTACGAGCCCATGGACATTCTCAAGACAACCACTACGGGGAGGCATCATCCCCTGTTCAGAAAACTCCTGAGAGCCCTCTGGTCGGACACACGCAGTGCTTCTACTGCGATAGGTACCTCGTGGTGTCACTGATGCCCATCTTTGTTCGGGCACCTGAGGGGAGCAGAGCCGTGATCTTCGACATTACCTTTTCCACTTAGGGTTTAAAGGCTCCCATGATAGCATGATGTTAGATACAGAATACTATTTTTCTCTCGATGAAAGTGCTACGAAATCTATTGGTTTCCCTGAGTTATAATCACAGTGGTTTCCAGGTCTCCCTCGGTCTAAATTCTTTCATCCCTGATGGGACATCTTCCACATGCCTTAAACTCTAATATACCCACAGAACAGACGTTCTCATATCTGCACAGCTTTCAGATGCAAATGTCTGGATGACACAGAATTGGAATTTAAAGATAAATAGATGTAGTTTTAATGTAGTATTACCATAATAAACTATTAGCGATATATATGCCTGTGTGGACTCCTCTTCAAAACAGGCAAAGTATGACGGAAATTTTTCTCTCTATCCCACTAAGAACTGGCCAGATCTACCCAGAACATTATATAACCATTAATCTTTGCCAGTGTTCACATGGCAAGCAGATTATTTTGCTACCTGTCACAGTTTTTGTGAACTTGGCAAAAGCCAAGCCCTACTTGGGAAGAGGGACTCTCCATTGAGCTACCCCCATTAGACGGGCCTGCAGACAAGCCTATGGGCCATTTGCTTGAGCACGGACTGACATGGACGAATCCAGGCTACTACAGGCAGTACTATGCCTGAGCAGGTGGGTCTGGGTTGTATAAGAAGCTAAGCTGACCAAGCCAGGGAGAGCAAACCAGAAAGCAGCGTTTCTCCTCAGCTCCTCCTCTGTTCCTGCCCTGGCTTCCACTGAAGATGGACTACAGCGTCTAAGATAAAATAAGTCCTTTCTTCCCCAGGTTGAATTTGGTCAGTGTCTCTTCACAGCAATAGAAAGCAAGCTAGAATAATGTCAAACGAGAAAATCAGGGTTTTTTTCATTATGATATTTTCAATATCATAAGTGGATATTAGATATAAAGTAGACGATAACCATGCTACAATCCACAGACCCAGAGAAGCTAAATAACAAGGACGGTTCAAGAGGACACCTGTGGCTCTCCCTAGGAAGGGGAAATAGAACAGAGTTTATGGGTGGACTGGGAATGGGTAGGGGTGGGTATGAGATGGATCAGGTCAGGGTGGGATGGAGGAAGAGTACTAGACGAACAGACTGGAGTTGAGGAACCATTTGGGAAATTATTTAGAAACCTAGTACAGTGGAAACTCCCTGGAACCTACAAGAGTGACCCTAGTGAAGCCTCTTAGTAACGGGGGATACAGAGCTCAAACTGCCGTCTATAACCAGGTAAGGCTCCCAGAGGTGGGATGGGACATCAACCCAGCCTCAAAACCTTCAACCTCCAGTCTGTCCTCTCTGCAATATTTGCTAAGGTAATGGTGGCACAGAAATGTGGGAGTGCCCAGAGGCCCAGGCCACAGGAGGGAGCCCACGCCTGGTCGGCCTGGATGGCCAAGAACCAGAAGTCAGACAGCCTAGAAACCCAGGACAGGAACAAACACAACTGGCTGAAAGGATTGCTGATGAAACTCTGCTGTACTCACGGACACCTGCCTAGCCCCGTTGGCATCAGAGAGGCATCATTCAGCAACCGACGGGAGCAGGTGCAAAGCCCCACAGTCAAACACTAGGTGGAGCCGGGGGAACCCCACAGAGAGAAGGGGAAGAAGGATTGTAGGAGCAGAGCAGTCAAGGACACCAGGAGAACAGGACCCACAGAATCAACTAAGCAGAGATCATCGGAGCTCACAGAGACTGAAGCAACAAGCACAGCCCCTGTATGGTTCTGACCTAGATCCTCTGAATAGACGCCATGGCTGTGCAGCTTGGTGTTCCTAACAGTCGGAGTGGACGTGTCCCTGACTCTCCTGCCTGTACTCGGAACCTTTTCCCTTCTTCTGGTCCCTCGTGCAGCCTTGATGGGAAGGTTTGTGCCTAGCCTTATTGTAATTTGTTATGCTATGTTCAGCTGGTATCCCTGGGAGGCCTGCTCATTTTTGTGTGGGGGAGGGAGTTCAAGACAGGATTTCTCTGTGTAACAGTCGTGGCTGTCCTGGAAGTCTCTCTGTCGTCCAGGCTGACCTCGTACTCACAGAGATCCCCCTGCCCTGCCTCTTGAGTGCTGGGATTAAAGGTGTGTGCCACCACATCACCAGTGTGTTCTTTTTTTTTAAGGACATGGAGGAGGAATTCATCTGGGGAGGGGAGAGGTTGTGGGGGGTACTAAGAGGAGTGGAGAGAGAGGAAACTGCGGTCAGAATGTAATGTATGAGAATAAAAATAAAATAAAATAAAAATATTCTGATTCCTCATAACAACATGTTTTTACTAATACATTAATAATAATAAATAATAGTAAAACAACTATTTCATTTGCTTTGCGGGTTGACAGCTTTACACTATGACATAAATTCTACACATGCTAAGCCTAAAGCAATTACACCCTATAGATAGAAGTAAATAACTACAGAACAGTAGAGCTAAGTTGCTATAAAGCTGAATTAAAATAAGACTTTGAAAGGAAACAGTCATTTTTACAAATTTCCACAAGAGGGCAATAAACTTATATTTGATCTCATCTTTTTAGGTTCCCATAGTTACAAGATTTTGTGATACCATCAAACATACATGGACCCAAATACTGGTATCAATCCTTTGAATTTGTAAAAATGTACCCCTAGAGACTCTATGAGAAAAGATTATTAATATAACTTTCCCATTTTATGTTCCTCAACTAAATGCAGTGAATCAGAAACATGAATAAACCTCATTATGTACTTGGTCATTCATAATAGATGAATTCTGTATGTAGTAATATGGCTTACACCTAAACCATTATACTGAGAAAGCCTATGTCCTTTAACGTTCAGCAGTACCCTCCAACATATTCTAGAAGCAACTGTGTTCAGAAGTAAAATCACGAAGATAATACAGTTCATTGGTAACAAAAAGTACGAACCATGTCTATACCATCTAAGAAAGCCTAAGCACCATAGCACACAGTTCTGTTAGTACCTGGAGACACATCATGGACTTTTCTACTAAATTCACTTTGCTTAGTTTTAAGTGAAACAGTTTGTGAAGGTAGATACGAAACACACTAACTTAAAGCAACTGAGGCAGGATCCTGAGAGGCACTGTTTACAGTTTCCACCTTCCTTAGAGGACTGTGGGAGGCTAGAACCAGTTCTTGCCTTAGACGCTCATGCCAAGCAGAGCCCATAGGAGAAGCTCATGGCTTCCTCCAGGGTCTCAGACACTGTCCATTTGGGAAACTGGGACGCAAACCGGAGAGCAATTAACACCATGCTCACACTGTGACCTGGGCTGAGATTCTGTGAGTAAGACAGAGGTGGGGAAGGTCTCTTATTTTTATATCACTCTTCCTTCCAACACATGTTTGCCAATATAAACATCAGCAAGATCAAACATACCAAGCCTACAGGCCTGCTGTGTGGAGATAAGGTACACCACTTTTACTACGACAATGATTTCAACATTTCTTGCATCGCGTAAGAAAATCAAGGCAAAGATGCCGTGTCGCTAATCTCTCTCCACTCGAGGAACATATGCAAAATAAATATGCATTTATTTGTCATAAGAAGCAAGAAGCTTGGGGGCTGGAGAGATGGCTCGGTGGTTAAGAGCATTGCCTGCTCTTCCAAAGGTCTTGAGTTCAATTCCCAGCAACCATATGGTGGCTCACAACCATCTGTAATGAGATCTGGTGCCCTCTCTGGCCTGCAGGCACACATGTAGGCAGATATTGCATGCATAATAAATGAATAAATATAAAAAAAGAGGCAAGAAGCTTTGCATCAAGCATGTGCACGGCCCCTGGCCTCTGGCCATCTACTCACCCTGGCAGTTTGTCTGTCTGTCTGTCTGTCTAACGGACCTCTCTCCAGAGCTTGGCCAGAGCTGTCACTTGGGTCACTAGCCAGACTCTCCAGCCTTTCTCATTCCATTGCCACTGCAGATTTCAGACCTGACACCCACTCAAGGTTCTCCGAAAGCATGACGCAGGGCCCACTCCACCTGCTGCAGGTGGCGCCCTGGGGGAGCTCGGGCTCTACCTGTCCTTCAGCGCCAATTCTCCGTCTGTTTCTAGCCCTGGTGTTAGTTATTTTTACTTTCTCAAAAAAAAAATACTTAAATATATCTATAATATTCCACAAGAAGAAGCCAGGCTACATTTGCCCTGCATACTACTACACTGAGATCTCAAGATTTACCCAAGCTAAAATTGTCGTAATGTTTCTAGTGACGGACACACAGCGGCTCACAGTACCAGTTGATTATATGGAAAAGGTCACATTTTCCAACTCACTACAAAAAGAATATCTAGCACAAAACTTAAAAGTAATTGTCTTAGCTCACTCTGTGCACACAAACAAACAAACAACAACAACAACAACAACAAAACCAAACAAAGTAAAACACACCAGAAAGAATCAAATGACTCAGTCTAAACAGGATGCTCGGAGATGAACTGGTAGTTCTCAAGAGGCTGTAAACAAATGCATCACCATCCCGGACAGGACGGAGAGAGGTGTATTGTAGGGAGCCACCTGAAGGCACAGGTGGCCCTGCAGTTTGGAGGTATACAAGTCCATACCTGGCTTAGCCACGTGGGGCTGAGAACCCTTGCCTGCACATGCGCAGACTAGCAGAATGGCATCAACCAATCAGGACAGCATTCAAGCCTCTCCACCGTTTAAAAGCAGCTGCCTCTGGGCTCTGCCTCCTCTCTCTAAGCTTTCTCTCATCCCTGCACTCTCTCTTCCCTTCCCCCAATTTTCCTCAATCAAGTGCTCCGAATAAAGACGTGATCAGGGAAGGAATTCTCGTTTTTCGTGGCGTTCATTCCTGCTGGTCAGGAAGCGCGCCGCAGTGTATTCCCATGTTCGCCATCAGCAAACAATCTGCGAGGGGAAGGTCGTGAGAAAGGAAGCAGGGAAAGGCAAACTCGCCCTCGGAGCTCCATGCGCGTGTGTGTCCCCTCCCACGGTGCTGTGAGTTATGAGGGTCCTGCTGAACACAGAGCTTCTGAGGTCATCTTTGTTTCTTGTGCAGAGAGCCTTGGATGTTCATCTGCTAGAATTTCCATCATTTCAGGAAAATAGAAAGACTCAAATCAAGAAAGAGTAGAGGGTTGAATTGGTTTTGAGGAGCAGAAAACAAAGCAACCCAAGCCACTCCAGTCTATATCTAGACGAAACTAAAAAAACTCTCCAAGTATCACCACATGGCGGCATAATTTCAAAGTCTCTGGCTCCCAAAATTTTAATAACTAATACATCAAACATGTTAAACAGCAAATGTAAAAATTATCACGTGACACTTACTGGAGTCCGTGGCAAGTTGACAGGGCAACAAACGAGCCAGGGTTCCCTCGGATCTGGCCCTGATAGTAACAGTGTTCTCCTCCCTGGAAACAGAAAGAGAGGGCATGAGCCTGGCCCCAGACGCATTCTTACACCGCACCTCCATATACGCTGCACGGGGCTTCATCACCCAGATTAGCATTGTCCAGCCAGTTCCAACAGAATTATTTATGAACGTGTCTATTGAGCAGACGCCAAATCAGAAGGCAGGGGAATAAAGGTGGACTTAGCTTTGCTTTTATGCAGATGTTACAGCAGCCAAAATGCTGAGATAAGCGTGTGGCCCATGCGCCAGGATAGGTTTAATAACCTATCTCCCAGTTCTGAGGGATTCCATTCTGAGCAACACTGCAGGGTAATTTAGCATCCAGCTGAACAAAAAGAAACGGGCATCACTTGAGAGTCATCGGATTCCTGTGATGGAGGAAAAGATCTGCTTTTGTGGGGTTCGCATCAAGTTTATAGTGTTCTTTCTCAAGTTGGGAATTGCTTTTCTTCTAACAGTCTGGGGGTAGAGGTTAAAGTTCCCTCTGCAACTGGTCATCAACTGAATGCAATTCTTTCAATACAACTGGAAAAGAAACGGTACACAGATGAGCTGCATCCTATGGTGTTGTCTTGAAACACTCGGCAGTGAGAGAATGATCCAAAGAACACAGCACCATGGAGCAGCTTCAAAATATAGAGCCCTTGTCGCAGCAGACCTACAAATCAGAATCTGCATTTTAACACAGTCTACGGGTGATTTATGTGCACATAAAAGTTCGGAAACCTCTGCTCTAAATCGCCTTTCCCATTCACCCACTAACTTATTTATTCTGTAGCAGAAAGCCTGTCATTAAATTGATATTCAGAGATTTTAAAAAAAAGGAAAAGTGAAAGAGAGGCCTGAAGGAATGAGTAGATGAAGTGGAAATGTTACCCGCGTTAGTGAGCCTTAAGGACCAAGCCTATTAAAATGCCCCGTGCTGGCCAGTTAACAGGGAAGAATCAGAGGACACAGGAGGCAACAGGGCTGAAAGCCCGACGCCTGCCACTGCTTCTGAGATAATCCCATAGTAGCTGGGAACACTCTGCTTTGGAGAATTCCAGTAAAATGGCAGAGCGCAGTCCCTGACCCTACTGTTGCCAGGGCAATGGTATCTTGTGAACGCCTCCATTTTGGCTGAACTGTGACAATTTCAGTAATGACCCCAATTTGACTTCTAGAAGTAAATTAACTTGTTCCCCTAGATTCTTGACTGTCCTGCCCAATGAACCCCAAGAAATATTAAGATGTTACTGATCACCCCAACATTCTATAATGCCCAGCAATGACCAAGTTCAGGCCAGATAGGAAACTTTCCAGCCAGCTTCCCAACCTCCTCTTTCTGGCCTCTAACTACCCAGCTTGTAAGTGGTATGTCTACCCATGCTATCCTTGTTCAGATCACAGTTAATCATTCAGAATCTTTATGGGTTTAGCTTCTAATATGGTGATGAAAAACAAGCTCGCAGCAAACTCCCTGATTCTCTGGCTCTTAAAATCTTTCCACAATGTTCCCTGAGCCTTAAATGCAGGGGTGCTTCGTAGCTGTAGCCATTGGAACTGACTCCACCACTTGGCTCTCTGAAAGGCTATAACTTTTAAGAATCAAGGCTGTCTGTCCATGCTCAAAGTCGCCAAGTAGCGATGCAAACTTTGGATGACTACAAATCCTGTAGTCTTTTCCCAACACTATATATGAGTTGGATCTAGAACTTGTGATTTATGCACTCCAAGTCTAAGCTTTCTCCTAGACTGATTTACTGCACATTTTTCTCATATTCTACTCTACTAAATATTCTCCCCTGGGCTAGGAGAATGGTGAACAGTCCATTTAGCTCTTTACAAGTGTTCAGGCAAACACATGATTCAGATAGTTCTTATTTTGTGAGCATATCTGGTTCTACCTGAAATCAGAACACTAGCTTCATATGGACCATACAAGAAAAAGTCAACCGTGACTGAGGTGGCCTAGACACAGAGAGAAAGCTCTTTGAAGTTTTCAACTCAGCAATGATCAACCCAAGCATAGATTTTTCTCCTAAGAGGTCTCAGAAGTCAACAGTAACACATGAAGAAAGAAGAAAGAGGAAAGATGAAAAGGAAGCTAATCACAATAATTATGGTTTCAGATCAGAAAAGAATAGAAATCAGCAGCCACTGTATGAGAATATGCCAGTGGAACAGCCCATAAAAATATTTTATAAGTTATTAAACATTATTTTTTAAATACCCAGTCTGGAAATGCGTCACTGTATAATTATAAGGAGGTCAAACAATTCAATTTTTAAAGAGCACCCCCTTACTACACTGGGGAAAAGTTAGATGATTAGACAATAGAAAAGAATCTTCCACTAATTTACAATTCAGAAAAAAACAGGAGTCTATCAAAAAACAGCTTATGATCAGAGACATGCAGAGAGGAACTCAACATGGCTGACTCACTATTGAGTGAGTCCATGACGCTTTAAAGAGAAGCATAAACAGGAAAGAGGGAGAGAGAGAGAGAGAGAGAGAGAGAGAGAGAGAGACCTCATCGGCCTGGGTTATTCGAATTGAATTCATTCATTCATTCATTCATTCATTCATTCATTCATTTTGGTTTTTCAAGACAAGGTTTCTCTGTAGTTTTGGAGCCTGTCCTGAAACTAGCTCTTGTAGATCAGGCTGGCCTCGAATTCACAGAGATCTGCCTGCCTCTGCCTCCCGAGTGCTGGGATTAAAGGCGTGCACCACCACTGCCCAGCTCCAGTTGAATTTATAAAGCTCTCATTGATAGCATATGTAATACTTCCAAATATTGGTAAGAACTCACTTTAGCATTTTAAATTTATCAGATGCTATTTACCGTAAATCAACAATTATTCACTTTTTCTTTTTACTTTTTTTTTTTGAGACAGGGTTTCTCTGTAGTTTTGGTGCCTGGTCTGGTAGACCAGGCTAGCCTTGAACTCAGAGATTCTGCCTGCCTCTCCCCCCGACCACCAACCGTAGTGCTGGGATTAAAGGCATGTGCCACCACCTTCTGGCCCAGTTATTCAAATGAGGAAGCAAGGAAACCAGGAGTGGTGGCTCAGTGGTTAAGAACACTAGATGCTCCAGCAGAAGACCTGAGTTCAGTTCCCAGCACCCACGTGGTTACAACCATCTGTAACTCTGGTTCCACGGGATCTGATGTCCTCTTCCTCACACTACAAGTACCACATGAACACGATGTACAAACATACATGCAGGCAAAATACCCAGAAACATAAAAGGTAGTAAACAAATAAAAGAAGAAGTAAAGTAATGAACTTTATTTTCCTTCAATATATATGATAATATTTATTATTCCAAACTGGAGACTTTAATGATAATGAAGCATTTTAATTCATTTATGTCCTATTACTAATATAAATGACCAAATGATTTTATATTTTAAGGACTATTTTTTGTTATTTTTAGATAATATACATTTAGAATAAAAGTGCTAAGAATTTATACCACTTATAGTAAAAAGTAAATTGCATTCTTTATGTACATTGTGCAAACCATACTTACCACCAAAAAATAAGCCTTTTTGAAATAGTTTGTGTATATACTATGCATATATGGAATATCTATATGAGGAATAAATACTAATATCAACCCTAAAAGAAATGCTGTAATCCCTATACAGCTTATAAATATGTATGTTTTCTCTTATATTTGAACGTCAACTCTTAAGTTTTTGTTATGTGTGTTACAATCCAAATAATCACAGAAGTTAGGTACCTAGTAAGGGACCAGAGGGGAGGAGAGGATCTTCCAAAGACAGGGAAATAGAACATAGGTTATGAGGAGATGTACGGGAAACTAGACTAGGAGAGGAAAAAGGGAAAGAGATGGGAGAGCTGGGTAAAGAGAGAATGGGGGGGGGGCAACTGACACTAAAGAACTTTTGAAAAAACATACGGAAACCTACTGTAGAAGTTCCCAAAATAGGTAATATATGAGAGGAATTTAAATTGAGTCATCATATAATGGGTGAGACAATGCCTCAACTAGATATCTTATTCAACCAAGTAAAACTTCTATTGTGAAAACATGGGTTATATCTTATTGAGTTGTTGGCCAAAGGAGTCCCAGAGATACATTCCCCAAACATCACAGGCTACCGCCAGTGTTATTGATTGCTCTTCACAACCTGTTGGTAAGACCCTGTTGCTGAAGCCAACATTTATTTATATCATCAAACATGAAGAAGTTGAGCTGGTACCCAACTAGAAGCTTAACCCCTGCTGACAAGCTCTTGGCCCTCGAAGGCACCATGCATGCTACCAGAGGAGAAAAATAATCATAATTATCACTCAGCTAGCTGCAAACACTGTGACCTGTAACAGCAACCAACGTGCAAGACGTACTGGTGCAAGAATGACAGAATGTGATGGCTTTGACCAACCACTTTCTCAAAGGACTAAAGGTCCACTCCATGAGATGAACCCATGCCTGACACTGCTAAAGTGGCCAAAAACCCGAGACTACCTAAGTCATGGACCTTGGGGAGAACTTGTGATTATTCTGCTAAAGGTATAGAGCTGTAAAATGACCCCTAAGAACACAGTGCTGTAGTCATCGATCAGCGCGTCACTCAACTAGAAGCTTTTTCTTGCAGTTCATTGTGATCCACAGTATATAAGACATCACAACTGGGTAATACGCAGGCGTGAGAGAGCTTGGATTACTCAGCCCTAAACGGGATATCTTCATCAAACCTCTCCTCGCAAGGCTCAGGGATCTGTGCAGAAGTGGCAAAAAGATTGCAGGAGCCTGAGGTAACAGATCCCTTCCAGACACAACGAGACTTAGGCGCATAAGAACTCACAGGGACTGTGGCAGGGTTCATAAGACCCGCACAGATTCAAGCCAGAAGGGGACCAGAACTGAGAGGGGACGTGGACACAAAGTCCTACCCCTGACTAAGAAGCTATTTGTAATTGATGATGCCTGCTGACGAAGGGAAAATCCACGTCTTACAATGGAGTGTCAGTGGGCTTATCA